GGAAAGAGGTGGCTTGCCATTGCCTTCCTCCATGTATCAACTCCAAACGTCCTTAGTGGTCTCCCAGACAAGTACCAACCAGGGCCGACCCTGCTTCGCTTACGAGATTTCAAGGCAAGTGATAAACAGGAGTGGTTTCCTATTGCCTGCCTCTGCACGGCGACCCTGGACTTCCTTCGTGCTCTCCCATCCCAGTACTAACCACAGCAGACCTTGCTTAGCGTTTGAAATTTCAAGGCAAGAGACAAACAAAAATGGTGTCTTATTGCCTGCATCTGCAAGGGTTTCCTTGGTGGTCTCCCATCCAAGTACTGACCACGGCTGACCCTGCTTAACTTCTGAAATCCAATGGGATCAGGCTAGCCTTGGGCGTCCACGCCAGGGAAATCATGGGGCTAGGTGACCCTGAATACGCCTATCCTCCACGGATTTGTCTGGTCCCCTTCTAGGGCCATCTTCGCATGTGTGGAACCACCCCTCCGTTCCCCAGCCCTCCCCCCAAATCTTACAGGCTCTGGGAACTTGGGAGGCAGACGGCAGGGAACGGGTCTGTCCAGCTTCCGGGGGCTGTCCGCGCGGGGACCCGCGCGTACCCTACGACGGCTCGTGCTCGGCAAGGACCTCACACCGCCCATGACGAGGGGCGTGCCGCACGGAAGCTGGCTGCCATTTTTGTCCCCGGATCGGTGCGCTTCCCTGGCTCCACCTTTTCCCCTGCCTCCCGCCCTACCACGGGGCCGCGGCCAGGAGGAAGCAGTCGCCTCTTCCTCCTGGCCCTGAGCGCCCAGGGTGGCTGGCTGGCCGCCGGACGGAGGCGGGGGGGTGGAGAAAGCCAGGGAGGGACCGATCCTTAGCAGCAGCTGATGAGGTCACAAGCAAGCTCTGTTTGGCAGGTCTGGAGGTAGCAGCTGAGCCAACAAGGTCGGGCTGGGCAAAGTTTGCCCAGGGCGCCTTCTCTGATCTCGGGCACGGCGCCGCGGCCGAGGGAGAAGGTCTCGGCACCCTGGCAGGGCAGAGCACCCGAGGAGAACCAGATGTTTGCTGTTCCCCCTGCACCTCCCCCTCCAACGGCACAGTCCCGACCCCCCTTTCCCAATAGGATGGTCCACACATTCTGATGTGAGCCGGCACATGTCACAATGCCCTGGGAGAGACACGCGCTCATTGGCTAGCTCTGCTCTTAGGTGGAGTGGTGAACTAAATGCTCCTAGGGTGTAACAGGCTACCATCCTCCTGTCTGCTGAATGAGAGTCCCCGCCCCCCGCGCATAGAAGCCAACTTCATAGACCCTGCCTAGGGAAGCAAAGCCCAGGTTCAAAATCCAAGCGGCCGGGAAAAACGTGATTACATTAAACTTTTGCAATCCGCTCCCTCAGAGATGGAGCGACACCCGCCGGCAAAGATGGGTTTTAAAAGGGTGAGACCCATGCGCCCTCTAAGCTGTGGAGTCTTGTGAGCAAAAAAAAATCTACTTTGTGAGCTACTGGCGTTAAAGTTGTGAGCGAGCGATTTGGCTGCTGCATAAAATAGCCTGCTCTGGAGGCCTCCTTCCCAAGCGGAGACAAAAACGTGTGAGCTGGAGGCTAAAAAACTGTGAGCTAGCTCACACTAACTCAGCTTAGAGGGAACAGTGAGCCCCACCCATCTTTTGTTCACCACAGCATTCAAAGGTCCAGCTTTTACAAAATCCCATGGGCACAGAGGAGGGGTCACTAGAAGAGTAGGAGAGGGGAGGCATTTGTGAATTTCCTGCATTGTGCAGGGGGTTGCACTAGATGACCCCATGGGGTGCCTTCCAGCTCTATGTTTCTACGATTGGAGTTCAAGCATTTAAAGGACATCATCAACACTGTCCTAAGTTTCACAGAGCCTCCATCTTCAGGGGCAGTTCCCTACCAAGCCCAGGAGGCTGGGGACAAGCGGAAGACGATGGCCGTCATCTTTTTGCCCTGCTGGAGAGCTACTGGGGCCAGCTGCTAGAGAGCCAGTTTTGGTGTCGGGGTTAAGCGCGCGGACTCTAATCTGGGAGAACCAGGTTTGATTCCCCACTCCTCTGCTTGCAGCTGCTGGATGACCTGGGGCAAGCCATAGTTCTGTCACAGCTATTCTCTCAAGGGCAGTTCTGGAAAGAGCTCTCTCAGCCCCACCTACCTCACAGGGTGTCTGTTGTGGGAAGGGGGAAGGAAAGGAGATTGTAAGCCACTCTGAGGCTCTGAGTGAAGGGCGGGGTATAAATCCCACCTCTTATTCTCTTCTAGTGGTTAGGAACACGGACTCTAATCTGGGAAAACCGGGTTTGATTCCCCACTCCTCCACTTGCAGCTGCTGGATGACCTGGGGCAAGCCATAGTTCTCTCAGAGCTGTTCTTGAAGAAAGAGCAGTTCTGGAAAGAGCCCTCTCAGCCCCACCTACCTCAGAGGGTGTCTGTTGTGGGGAGGGGAAGGGAAAGGAGTTTGTAAGCCAATTCTAAGACTCTGAGTGAAGAGCGGGGGATAAATCCCATCTCTTCTCTTCTTCTTCTTCTCTTCTAGTGGTTAGGAGCACGGACTCTAATCTGGGAGAACCGGGTTTGATTCCCCACTCCTCCACATGCAGCTGCTGATGTGACCTTGGGTCAGTCACAAATTCTTTCAGAGCTGTTCTCTCATGAGCAGTTCTCTTTGAGCTCTCTCAGCCCCGCCTACCTCACAGGGTGCCTGTTGTGGGGAGGGGAAGGGAAAGGAGTTCGTAAGCCGCTCTGAGACTCTGAGTGAAGGGCGGGGGATAAATCCAATCTCTTCCTCTTCTCCGGGAAGGCGGCACTGGAAACACCTCCCCCGACTGAAAGTTCCTATCTATACCTTGTGGCTAAATGAGGATGATGTTATGGTACGGAGGGAACGCTATTATCCACAGAGCAACTGTTAAAACAGCTTCCTAGCCGCTTCTGCCATTCAAACTTGAAGTACCAGGGAAGCGGATTCACACTCAACCCAGCAAGTCGAACACATTGAGGAATTTCCGCTTTAAAACCGGTTCCCTATCAGAATATATTTGTAATTTCACACACAAACGCTTCTGTCCCGTTTAGGAAATGGGGCTGAAGCGTTTTACCTGTCAACCGCTTCCAAGTACTCTTCAGTTTCCTCTCCCGGTTCTGATGTCCTTTTTCCCGCCATTTTCCGCCCGCGTGGGTGATCTCCGGCTTTTTTTTAAAAAACGTTCGCTTTATAGCGCTATAACGGTATAACGCTAGAACGGAACAACGTTATATCAACCCCATTGGAATGCCTGGAGTGTTGTGTTATAGCACTATAGCGCTATAAAGCGAACGTTAAAAAAAAAAAGCCAGAGATCGCCCGCGCGGGCAAAAAACGGTGGGGGGAAAGCGGTGCAGTCTGAAATGGGAAACCGCTTCAGATCCAGCTCTTTACCGGAAGGGGAAAGCCATGTGTGAAATGGCAGCCCTATACCGGTTTACTCCACGACGGATCAAAAACGGCTTAAAAAGGGTAATGTGAAATTCCTCATTGTGTCACCAAGGAACCCTGCTAAGCTCCCCATGAAGTCCTTCTTCACCCAAAGAGTAATAAAAATGTGGAATTAACTGCTGCATGAAGTGGTGGTGGCTACAGGCATAGACAACTTCAAGTGGGGACTGGATAAAACACCTGGAGTAGAAGTCCATCGGTGGCTATCAGCCACAAGGTATAGATGGAACACTCTGTCTGGAGCAAGGGATGCTCTGTACTCTTGGTGCTTGGGGGGGCCACAGTGGGAGGGGCTTCTGGAGTTCTGGCCCCGCTGGTGGACCTCCTGAGGGCCCCTGGGTTTTGGCCCCTGTGTCACACAGAGTGCTGGGCTGGATGGGCCCTTGACCTGATCCAACAGGGCTTCTCTTATGTTCTTATACTCTTAGGACTCCCTGTAGCACAGTCTGAAGTGAGGCATCAGAGCCTTGTTCGCTGTCGTTTCTTATACTGTCTCCATGAACGACCTACTTTGCGAATGGTGTCGTGTCAGGGAAGGGCAGACACACAGTTGGCGTGCCCACAACCGGGGATGTCCGCATCCTCACTGCGTCCCGGGTGCCCCTCCTGCATCTTCCACATGCGCTCCCTCCCTTTCCTCAGGACATGAACATGCACGGATGGTTCCTGGCATCTGAATTCGTCTCGACTATGGCCCGCCCCATTCTCGCTGGCAGCCCGCAAGGAGCCAAGCCCAACGTGGCCCCGACTGCTAAGCGGCAAATGCGGCGTCATCGTGCCAGGGCTACCGATGGTGGGCGCATGACCCCAGACACACACACACACCCCCGCTGGCAAGATCAGCCCCTTGTCATGGGAAATAAATACTGCTTCCAACGCCTACCGCTATCAATAACCAAGAAAGGTTACAACCAGCTCTCCGCCTACGAGCATACGGGGAGGTGAAGCACCCAACCTTTGACTATACTTATTTACATATATAAAACGGGGGTCAAAGCTTGTTACAAATATTACGCAGCATCACGTGCTGGTCTCAGATTTACTCAGCTGCCATCAACAGTAGGCAGAAAACACAGAGGCGATCACACGACGCAAACAGGTCATGCACAAGCGCCACGGGTTTTTTGTTGTTGTTGTTGTTTTTAGCGGCTAACACAATGGGCTGCCTTAACTGCCTCACCCTAATAGCTGCACATCGTTC